ATGTAGTCCCCTACAAAGCTAGTCTTCAAACATTTTAAAGACTTATTTATTTTAGTTGTATATGTATTTTAGTTGTATATGTGCCTGTATATGTACCAGGTATATGTACCATGTATATGCACCATGTATATGCGCCATGTATATGACTGGTATCCACAGAGGACAGACAGGGTGTAGGATCCCCTGAAATTGGAGTTGTAGGCGGTTGTGAGATGCCATGTGGGGGCTGGGAACTGAACCCAGATCCTCTGGAAGAACAGCAAGTGCTCTTAGTCCCCGAGCCATCTCTTTTATCCCCATGGCCCCTTTAAATTTTGACTGACCTTGACCCACAATAAAAAATACACCTTATGCTGGGCGTGGTGGCGCACACCTTTAATCCCAGCACTTGGGAGGCAGAGGTAGGCAGATCTTTGTGTGTTTGAGGCCAGCCTGGTCTACATAATGAGTTCCAGGACAGCTGGGGCTACAAGGAGACCCTGTCTCAAAAAAGACAAAAAAAAAAAAATACACCTTACACTTTGCTTACCTAGAATGCAGGAAGCCCTGGGTTCAATCCACGGTACCATACTAAACCAGGCATGCTGTCACATGCCTGCAATGCCAGCACTGGCGAGGGGAAGGCAGGAGGATTCGAGGTTTAAGGTTATCCTCCACTAAATAGCAAGTTAGGGGACATTCTGGACCCTATCTCAAAAAGAAAAAAAATTACAAGAAATACATCATACTTTCTAATTTATCTTCTTAGTGCCAGTCCACATACATAATTGAAATAAACTTTTTCCGGAAAATTTAGTGCCTCTGATAATTTTTTTCTGTGCTGAGGATAAAACCCAGGGCCTTGTCCATTCCAAACAGGTGTTCTACCATGTGCTCTAGCATATCCCCAGTCCTGATACTTCAGTTCTATCCATATTCCATTTTTAAGTAAACTAGTGGTGACTCGCTTTAATACTGTGATCCACTATCATGATTTGACCACAAGTTGGTCATGTTTTTTGATTTCTCTCAGCTCTGAAGGCCTCTGACTCTTAACACAGTAATATTTGTTCCAGTTCTTTGGAATATGGGAAAACTAATATTAGGTCCATCCCTATTACTTACTTTTGTATAAATGACATAACATCTGACAGAAACAACTTAAGGAAGGAAAGATTTATTTTGTCTCATAGTTTCAAAGGACCGTGATCTTGGACCAACAAGGTGGGAAACGTAGTAGCTCAGTCTCAGCAAAAGCATGTGGTAGAACAGCTGTTCACATCTTAGTGGACCAGGAAGCAGGGACCTAAAATCCAAGGCAGCTAAGGACCCAAGGGATCATCCTCAGTGACCTTTTTCCTCCTGCTAGGTCTCACCTCCCAAAGCTTACACAACCTCCTAAAACCCTACAACTTTCGTGAGTCAGTTCTCTTATTCTACCACATGGGGCCCATGGATTGAAGTCAGGTCATCAGGCTTAAGGGTAAACACCTTTATCTGCTGAGCAGCATCTCTCTGGCCCTGATTTCAACATGTATACAGAAATAGCAATCAAAAAATCTCCATCGAGCCGGGCATGGTGGCACAGGCCTGTAATCCCAGCATTAGGGAGGCAGAGGCAGATGGATCTCTGTGAGTTTCAGGCCAGCCTGGTCTACATAGTGAGTTCCAGGTTTGAGACCCTGTCTCAAAAAGACCGAAAAAAAAAAAAAAAACCCAAAAAACAAAACAAAAAAACCAAACAAAAACAAAAACCATAAATTTCTCCTGTGGATTTCTTTTCATAGACTGAATATGGGCTTTTCCTCCTTGATCTGCTCCAAAATGTCCAGAGTTGTACTGTTGCTTATGTTCTGAGAGAACTGTTTCATGTAAGCATCTTCATCTTCTTCAATTATGTGACATATAATCTGTGACATTCTGACCCATGACCTATGATGTGTTTCTGTACTGAAGCTCTTGCTTTCAGAATTATAACAAGGAATCATTTGGTTCTGTGATAGATACACAAGCCTCTATCCACAGCTTCTTCGGATCCCGCCAAAACTTTATTCCCAGTTGTAGTTCAGGCAAGACCTCTATCCAAATACCAACTGAAGGCACCAGGCTGAGCATCAGTGCCTTCCACATTGTGTTGGCCTCCAATCACTTCCACTTGGTCTTCATAGATCCTGTCATGCTAAACCTATTCATAAGCCCACAGGGCAGCAAACAATCAACTGCTGCACAACTTGTTAGGCAACTTTCACACTGTATTTCAGTAGCTCACATGCATATGCTGAACAGACTATCATATCTCCTTCAATATGAGTATAAGCAATCTGACAGATTCAGTTACATGAACTATCGTCCTGTTTTGGGGGGTATGTTCTTGTTTTTGTCCCAGATTACTAAGTGTAACTTGAACTCTCAGCAATCCTCCTGTGTGTGTATGTAATATACGTGTGCATGTGTGCATACACATGTATGGAAGCCGGAAATTAATGTCAAGTGTCTTCCTTGATTGCTCTCTGCGTTATTTTTATTTTTTATTTTTATTTGATGTGAGTGTTGCCTGCACATATGTAAGTGCACTGGTGTTGTTCTTATGCCCTTGGAGGTCAGAAGAGGGGCATTCCCTGGATTTCTCTGGAACTGGAGTTACGGACAGTTGTTAACCTGCATGTGGGTGCTGGAAACCAAACCTGGTTCTCTGCAAGAATAGCTAGTGCTCTTAGCCACTGAGCCATCCCTCTAGCCCCTTATTTTTTATTTTTTGAGACAGAGTGCCTTTTACCAAACCTGGTGCTCATCAGGTAGCTAGATTGGCTGGCCGATGAGCCTTTCTCTGCTGGTCCCACATGGTCACAGACACATGTGGCCACACTCAGATTTACAAGGATATTGGGGATATGAACTCAGGTCCTCGCACTTCTACAGAAGGCACTTTACTCCCTGAGCCACCTCCCCAGCCCCTGAGCAAGTTTTTACATGGTTTGGGCATCATTCCTCATCTATAGGAAGGGAGCAATAATTTGATAATAAAAAGCTTCATCTTTCCTCCTGATTGTTTCTGGTTTTGTTTTGTCAGTTTCATGGAATGAATAGTAGGTTTACAGGAAGAAGAGGACAATAGTGCCATCATCTTTGGCATGCCCACTTGGGAAAAAATATCTTCTACTGAGATCTAGAAAGGTGGAAAGCTTTTACTCAGAACAAGTAAGTACATTACAAAAAAAACCCCATCTATTTAGTAATATTGTCTGCTACCAAATATTGATGGTACTGAATGGAAAAGTAATTTATGCTTTCATCTGACTAGTTATCTGTGGAATTCTCACCAAATATTCTTATGTTGTCTTGAGAATTCTTTAAAAAACATGGCAGCCTATGGCAAAAGGCAGATGATAGAAAGGGCAGAGGTTATATAAAGAGTGACCAGGTCAGGCTTCAAACTGTTTCCAGCTCTTACCTGCTCCACTGTATCCTTCCATCTATATAATCTCCAGTTATTGCAGAGAAACGGCACAGGCCTAAGTGGCACCCCAAATAAGCTCTTTCCATTTTGAAGACTTGTGCTATTCGTATGGTAGCCATTAGCCACTTGGGGCTATTTAATTGTGACTTTAAAAAATTAAAATGTAATTTCGTGCAAAATTCAACTGTGTATGAGGGCCTGGTATTGCACACCTATAATCCCAGCACATAGGAGGCTGAGAAAGGATTGTGAATTTGAGGCCTGCCTGGTCTATATAACAAGGTCCTCAAAAAAACAAAACAAAAACCCAAACGAAATTCATACCCAAAACACATACTAACTCTGGTCACATTTCAATTGCTCAGTGGCAACAGGTAGCTCAGGGTTGCACACTGGATAATGCAATACAGACCACGGTTGTAATCTCGCAAAGGTCTACTGTAAAACAATAATCTACACAAAGATATTATGAAAAAATGAATAAGAAAGAACAGACTTTGATGTGTAATCAAAAAGAGTGTAAAAGAGGTGCAGGACATGGTGGCACACACCTTTAATCCCAGCACTTAGGAGGCAGAGGCAGGTCAAGCTCTGTGATGTTGAGATTGGCCTGGTTGGTCTACATAGTGAGTTCCAGGCCAGCTGTGGCTACAGGAAGACCCTGTCTCAAAAAAACCAAAAAAAATTTATAAACTGCAGTTATAACTAACCATGCTATAAAATGGATAGTTATTACTGTGTAATGTAACCGAAATAATCTTCTTAAATTATGTATTTTTATTTTATGTGTATGAGTGTTTTGCCTGCATGTATATAAGTGCACCCATGCCTGCAATGCCCATGGAGGCAGGAAGAGGCTGTCAGATCCCCTGGAACTGGAATTACAGATGGTCGTTAGCTGTCATGTGGGTGCTGGGAACCAAACCAGGGTCTTCTGCAACAGCAGCCAGTGCTCTTAACTGCTAAGCCATCTCTCCAGTCCCAAGATATTCTTTTTGATAATCATTATCTATCCTCACAAGTGTGGACCATCATGTTCTTTCTTTCTTTCTTTCTTTCTTTCTTTCTTTCTTTCTTTCTTTCTTTTGGCCTGGAACTCACTATGTAGACCAGGCTAGCCTCAAACTCACAGAGATTTACCTGCTTCTGCTTCTTGAGTGCTGGGAATAAAGGTGTGCACCACCACGGCTTGCTATAACTGCAGTTTATATAGATAAGTTAAGTTTTTAAATACTGTGATAATTTGACATCTTCATTTTTGGGGGGGGGAGTCTTTTTGAAGCAGGGTCTCCCTGTAGCCCCAGCTGTCCTGGAAGTCACTATGTAGACCAGGCTGGATTTGAACTCACAGAGATCTGCCTGCCTCTGCCTCCCAAGGGCTGGGACTACAGGCGTGAGCCACCACACCCAGCCTGACATCTTCATTTTAAAATGGGAAGAGACCTGGCCTCAGAGGTTATTCATATGAATGGACATACATCTCCAGCCTTTTCAGAGGCTGTCTTCTACTGTAAAATGAAAGTAACAAAGAAATAGAAACTTTGTGGTTATGTTCATAAGAAGGATGCAGAATCAAGAGCACAGGTGAGACCCCAGAGGGAGACAGTACTCCCTCACAGGGCATGTACACACATGGGCAACATCTCAGCTGAGGTTAGCAGTGGGGATCTGCCATGTGGAGAGGGGAAGCTGGAGTGGCATTCTGAGTGTTTGGCTGCCTGATGGTGCATTTCAGATCAGAGAGGACTTGAGCCTTTGGGAGAAACATCTTCATACAACCATTAGTCATGGGAGATTAAAATCCAGGAGCTGCCTACTATACAAAGAAAACTAGCAGACTGACAGTGAAAGACCAGGAAGCTGTGTATTGGAGCTGTCATAAAGATGGTGTGCTTCAGTGCCTGGGCACATTTTGGTCTCCATTTAAGAGTTAGACCTTAGGACTAGGCCCGTGGCTCAGAAGTAGAGTGCTTGCCTCCCAAGCATGAGGCTTGAAGTTCAATCCTCAGTACTGTCCAAAACAAAACAAAAAGAGAGTTTGCAGAGCCAGATACAAAAATTGACACAGCTGCCCTAGAGACTTGGAGGAATGAAGAGAGCTTAGGCTGAATACCATACAATTCTTTGCCATGATAGCTTTCAGAAAAGACTAAAGTCTGTGAGAGATAAAAACATGCTATTCCTGCTGGGCGTGGTGGCGCACGCCTGTAGTCCCAGCACTTGGGAGGCTGAGACAGGGGGATCTCTGTGAGTTCAAGGCCAGCCTGGTCTACATAGTCAGTTCCAGGACAGCTGGAACTACAGGGAGACCCTGTCTCAAAAAGGCCAAAAAAAAATGCTATTCCTTTGAGTTATGACAGAAAAATAATGTGGAGACATTACTTTGTATGAGATATGAATTCTAGTAATCATTTCCTAAGTTACATGCCTCTCTTAACCCCACAGATGAGATATCATTGTGGTGTGCCAGAACTGATTCCTCCTGTTGGGTGAAACTTGATCATTGAATTTCCAGATTTTTGTTAGCCAATTAAAGTATATTGTTAACTTGAAATTGGCCATGGTGAATATATTAAATCCATTATGAGGATCAGATCAGATCCTCTGTCCCTAGAAAGGCAGTCGTTTACATGTTTGGCTGCACATCTTGAAACAGGTTCGAAGAGCGTTGCCAGAGTTACACAGGTGATAGATCCTACACTGTCGCATTAACTGCTCCTGGGGAAACAGGAACAAATAGTCTGTTCACTCCAGACAGGTCTCCAACAGGAGACCAAAGTAACCATTCCACCCATGTCTGGTTTGGTGACCCAGTGAGTTTGTTGAGCTTTCTTATGGGGGCCTAGGTGAGCAGCTGCCAGCATGGATGAGGACTCTCCATATATGTATAGATGGAGTTCCTCCTTCAGTTAGCCTTCAATGTATTCTAGCAGCACCCAAGACAGTGTGCAATTGGGACAGGATCACATGCAGCTGGCAGAGAGGCACAGGAGGGAGTAACTAGAATCTCAAGTGAGGGCCTAATGATTCCCCCAAACCCTCCTAAGAGGGAATGTCATCAGATCCAATGGTGTGAGGAGTCTCTTGCTGTGTAATGACTGTTAATGCTAGGGGGTGGTGTTCTACAACATATGGGCTTTATTACTTCAAAACCCATTATTTCACTGCTGTGGTTTTACCAGAGACGATTTTGTGTCAGTGCAGAAAGTTACTTGCCTTATTTCTACACCAAAGCAAAACTACCTTGCTCACCAACGGAGGTAAGGGCTTCAGAATCTTGCAGATCACTTTTTGAAGGCTTGAAATTCAGTGTTGTGACATCTCTATAATTCAAGATGGTCCAAAAGAAAAAAATGCACCACCCTGATGCTCTAGTGACAGACATGCATATTTCATGTAGATTATAAATAAATAAATCTTTATCCCCAACTTTTCAGTGAATTTCATAAAGGAAAATAGTCAAGCCCTCATTCAAAGGATGGGCATGACAGTTACAAAGCAAATCACCGATGATCTATTTGCATGGAAAGTTCTGAACCATGAAGAAGTCAATGTCATTTGCTGCGAGAAGGTGGAACAGGATGCTGCGAGAGGAATCATCCATATGATTCTGAAGAAGGGCTCAGAGGCCTGCAACCTCTTTCTTAAGTGTCTTGAAGAGAGGGACTATCTTGTATATCAGGACTTAACTGGACAGAGTAAGTGTCTATTTGTTTGCTTCTGTCCCACCATCAAGAAGCTCGACGGTCCCTTTGATAGAGCTTCAGCTTTCCTCCATGTTTGTGTCACTGGCCATAGGCTTTGACTTGCACTAAGGAAAAGTTCTCAGATCACTTGACAGTGAAGCCATATAAGTAACCATATAAATAACCCCAGGCCTGAGCAAGAGATGACCTTGTAAAGTCTACTTCAAAGTATAACCGAAATGCTGGTCATGGTTGCACTGGGGAAGCTAAGTAAGGTAGGAGGATGGTGAGGTTGAGGCCTACCAGGACTCCATAGCAAGACTCTGTCTCAAAAAACAAGTGTAACTAGATCATAAATACACTAAGTCAACAATCCTTAGTCTATCATCTGTGGATGAATGACTGCCTACCCCATGATTTTGACACCATGGAAAGACAGCCTGACTGACGCAGGGAGAATCACTCTGCTTTTGGTACAGCAGTCATTTCACCACCATCATTTTTTCTTTGTTTGTTTTGCTTTGTTTTAAGACAAGGTCTCATTATGTAGCTCTGGCTGACCCGGAACTATGTAGACCAAGCTGGCCTTGAGTTCACAGAGATCCACCTACCTCTGCCTCCCTAGTACTAGACCAAAGGCATGCACTACCATGCCCATCATCATCATCATCGATGTTATTGTTATTACTATTTTGAGAAAGGGTCCTATGTATTCCAGACTGGCCTTGAACTTACTGTGTTCTGACGATCATCTTGAACTCTTGATCCTCCTGCTTCCACCTCCCAAATGCTGAGATTACAGGCATGCAGCACCATGCCTAGTTATGCATGTTAGGCAAGCACTCAACTGAGTTAGTATCTCAACTCCTCATTTTAATTATTTTAAACTACTAAGTTATACCATGACAGATTTTACTCAAAGATAAGGCTTAATTGACTGAAAATTACCCCTGGCCAACATTCTCAGTCAAGTCTTTCACGTTCCTTAACCAAAACATAGGTTCCTCCCACTTCCAGTCAGCTGTTGTAAGACCTGGTGGCTGGAGCGAGGAAAGGAAAAGAAGGAAAAGGATGTCAGGGTAAAGCAGTGAGAACTGGAAGCCCACTGTGGCATCTGACCCCTTTGTCCTCCTGATCCCCAGGTTTTGAGGAGATGCAGAATAATGTCTCTCTAACATTACTGCTTCTCTAATTAGGTATTTTTCACCAGCTATCAGAAGAAGACTTGGATGTTTTAGCTCAGAATTTAAAGGATTTCTACAAAAGCCCCACTTTTCTGAACTTCAATCCTCTGGGTAAAGATATTGACATCATCTTTAATTTGAAAATCACCTACACAGAACCTGTCCTGTGGAAGAAGGATCATCACCATCACCGTAAGGAGCAGCTGACCCTGAGCAGTCTGCTGAAGGATCTTGAGAGCCCTTGCCTTATTGAAGGGGAATCGGGTAAAGGGAAATCCACGCTTCTGCAGAGGATCGCCATGCTGTGGGCTTATGGGGAGTGCAGGGATCTGAACAGGTTCAAATTTGTCTTCTTTCTCCCCCTGAGCAGTGCCCGGGGTGGACTGTTTGAAATACTGTGTGATCAGCTCCTGAATGTACCTGACACAATCAGGAAGCAGACCTTCATGGCCACGCTGTTGAAGCTCCAGAAGGAGGTCCTTTTTCTCCTTGATGGCTATAATGAATTCCTGCCCCAGAACTCCCCAGAAATAGAAGCCCTGATAAAGGAAAACCATCGTTTTAAGAACATGGTCATGGTCACCACCACCACTGAGTGCCTGAGACATATCAGGCATGTTGGTGCCTTGATTGCTGAGGTGGGAGACATGACAGAGGATAGTACCAAGGTTCTCATCCAGAAAGTGCTGATCGAGGAACTGGCTGAAGGCCTGCTGCACCAGATGGATGTGTCCAGGTGCTTGAAGAATCTGATGAAGACTCCTCTCTTTGTGGTGATCAGCTGTGCAATCCAGATGGGAAGAAAAGAGTTCCACTCTCACACACAAACCAAGCTATTCCAGACCTTCTATGACCTACTGATACAGAAAAACAAGTATAAGTACAGAGGTGGGAATGCAGGTGACTTCACCAGGAGCCTAGACTACTGTGGAGACCTGGCTCTGGAGGGTATATTTTCCCATAGGTTTGATTTTGAACCTGAGGATTTGTGCAGCATCAGTGAAGATGTTCTGGTGACAACTGGGCTCCTCTGTAAATACACAGCTCAGCGACTGACGCCTAAGTATAAGTTCTTTCATAAATCATTCCAGGAGTACACAGCAGGACGCAGACTCAGTGGCCTGTTGATATCTAGTGATCCAGAGGAGGTGAGCAAAGGAAGGCACTACTTACAGAAAATGGTGTCCATCTCCGATATCACATCCCTGTATGGCAATCTGCTCCTGTACACATGTGGATCATCCACAGAAGCCACCAGGGCTGTCATGAGGCACCTTGCAGTGGTGTATGAGCATGGCAGCCTGCAAGGGCTCTCTGTCACCAAGAGGCCTCTCTGGAGGCAGGAATCCCTACAAAGTATAAGAAATACTACTGAGCAAGACATTCTGAAAACCATCAACATCACTTCCTTCGTAGAGTGTGGCATCAATTTATTCTATGAAAGTATATCCAAGTCAGCCCTGAGCCAAGAATTTGGAGCTTTCTTTAGTGGTAAAAGTTTATACATCAACTCAGAGAACATCCCTGATTACTTATTTGACTTCTTTGAATACTTGCCTAATTGTGCAAGTGCTCTGGACTTCATTAAACTGGATTTCTATGGAAAAACTACAGCCTTGCAGGACAAGGCAGCAGAAGATGGCACTGAAGGCTCCGGGGAAGGGTCCTCAGAAACCTACGTTCCCAGCAGGGTTGTGTCTTTGTTCTTCAACTGGAAGGAGGAATTCAAGACTCTGGAAGTCACACTCCGAGATTTCACCAAGTTAAATAAACAAGATATCAAATACCTGGGGAAGATATTCAGCTCTGCCACAAACCTCAGATTGTACATGAAGAGATGTGAGGCTATGGTGGGAAACCTCAGCTGTGTCCTCAGCACCTGTAAGAACATCCATTCCCTCATGGTAGAAGCCATCCCTCTCACCATAAAAGATGAGCAGCACATCACATCTGTGACAAACCTCCAGAACTTGAGCATTCACAATGTGCAGTCTCAACGGCTGCCAGGTATGGTACACATTCCTAGCTAAAGCTGTAACCAAGTCTGGCTGGGTACTGTGCAAATACTAGATAGAACAGTTTCCTTGTAAATTTTCTAATACATTTTTTCTTTTCTGGGGCTGAAGACATGGCTCAGTGGTTAAGGGCACTGGCTGCTCTTGTAGAGGACCTGGGTTCAGTTCCCAGCACTGATATAGTGACTAACAGCTGTCTGTAACTCCAGTTCCAGGGGATCCAATGCCAAAGAGGCAGGCATTGCGCCCTCATGGTATACCTACATACATGTAGGCAAAACACTCATATACATAAAAATATTTTTCTAATTTTCTTTCTTTGCCATATGTGAGAAATTAAAAGGGAAGTGGGAAAGCTGGGGAGGGAGGTCTGGAGCAGTAGATGGCAGTCAGACCAGGAGCTGAAGTCATATAGTCTGATTGGAAAGCTATATTAGTGTTCGCTTTGGCAGCACATATACTAACAGAATGATGTAGAGATTAGCATGGCCCCTTGAAAGGATGGCATGCAAATTCATGAAATCTTCATATTTGAAAAAAAAAGTTATATATAATAAAAATTCTATGTGATATATTATAAAACGTATGTGTTAAATAATCAGATAATTATATATTATAAAACACTATATATATACATGTATATATGTACATATGTATATATACAGAACCCACATGGTAGAAGGAGAGAACCAAAGCTGGGTGTGATAGCATATACCTTTAATCTTAGCACTTGGGAGGCAGAGGCAGGTGGATCTCTGTGAGTTCAAGGCCAGCCCTCTCCATAGTGAATCCAGACCAGCTGTGACTAAAGGGAGACCCCCGTCTCAAAAAGACAAAAAAAAAAAAAAAACAAAACAGAGAGCCAAGTCCTAAAATGTGTCCTCTGACCTCCATACATGTGCCAACATAAGCTCACATGTGCATGCACACACATAAACACACACTAAATAAATGTAAAATAAAACAAAATATATTTAAGTACATATAAATATATTGTAATATGTATTTTAAATATGTAAATATATAATATCTGAAGCCTGTCTTCAACAAATTCTCTCCCTTTTCACATCTCTATCTCTACCCAATACCCACTATTTCCCTGTCAAGCTGTTTTCTGGGCCCCTTCAAGTCTTTTTGTTTAGGATTTATTTTTATTGTTTTTTAAAAATATTTTATTTGGCCAGGCATGGTGGTGCACACCTTTAATCCCAGCACTTGGGAGGCAGAGGCATATGGATCTCTGTGAGTTCAATGCCAGCCTGGTCTACATAGTGAGTTCCAGGACAGTATATTTTTTATTTATTATTCCTATTCCATGTGTATGTGTGTATTGCCTGCATGTAGGTAAGTGCACCCCTGTTGTGCAATGCCCATGGAGGACAGAAGAGGCTGCCGGATCCCCTGGAACTGGAGTTACAGACAGTTGTTAGCTGCCATGTGGTTGCTGGGATTCAAACCTGGGTCCTCTGCAAGAACAGTCAGTGTTCTTAACCGCTGAGCCATCTCTCCAGCCCCCTATTTGTATTGTTTTTAATTATGTGTATGTGTGTGTGTGTGTCAGTGAGGGGGTATGTGCACTTGAGTGTCGGTGCTTATGAGACCAGAGGCATCAGACCTCCCTGGAGCTGGAGTTAGAGACCGTTGAAAATGCAACTGTCCCATATGAGCACTGAGACCCAAACTGGGGTCCTCCAGAAAAGCAGTAAGTGCTCTTAACTACTGAGCCATCTCTCTACCCTCCACCTCCACCTTTGAAGTCTTAAAGGAAATCCTACCTTCAAATTAATTACTCACAGGAGCCAATTGCCTTATTAGAGTCTCATCTGCAACATTTCAAAGCATACTTAAGTCCATCCTTACTTCAAGTATTGCTTATTAAGAAAAACGGTTTTGGGGACTGATGAGATGGCTTAGTGGGTAAAGGTACTTGCCATCAAACCTGTCGCCTGTGTCCTAGTCTGTTTCTCCATTGCTGTGACAAAACACTCTAACCAATATCAACTTGGGGAAGAGAGGGTTTATTTAGCTTACATATCCCGGGTCACAGTTCATCCAGGAGCCCAAGGTAGGAACTCAGGGCAGGAACCTGGAGGCAGGAGCTGGAGCACAGGCCATGGAGGAAAGCTGCTTACTGGCTTGCTCCCCTGGCCCCTGCTCAGCCTGCTTTCTTATGCAACACAGGCCCACCTGCCCAGGGGTGGCACCAACCACAGTGGGCTGGGCCCTCCCACATCACTCATCAAGAAGATGCCCCTCAGACATGGCCACAGGCCAGTCCAATAGAGGCAATTCCCCAATTGGGGCTCCCTCAACCCAGGTGTGTCAAGTTGACACTAAAGCTATCCAGCACACCTTGAGTTCGATCCCTGGGTCCCACATCGTAGGACAGGACTAACTCCCACAGGTTTTCTGACCTCACACTGCACACCTACATATGTAAATAAATGTAAATACATAAATGTAATAAAAATTTTTTTGAGGCAAGATTTTATTATGTACCTCAGACTGGCCTGGAGCTCACTTTGTTAACCAGGCTGGCCTCGATCACAGAGATCTGCCTGCCTCTGCTTCCCTCGTGCCGGGGTTAAAGGCATGGGCCACCATACCCAGCATGTTTGTAGTTTAAAAATATTAATATACTTCAGGGGATGGAGAGATGGCTCAGTGGTTAAAAGCACTGACTGCTCTTGCAGAGGACCCGGGCTTGATTCCCAGCACCCACATGGCGGCTACGAACCGTCCTTAACTCCAGTTCCAGGGGCATCCAAAGCCCTCTTCTGACCTCCACAGCATTGCATGACATGACATGACATGGGTACACTCACATACATGCAGGCAATACACTCATACACATAAAATAAAAATAATAAATAAAATATTTTTTTAAATTAATATACATCAATTAATACAGCAATTGTACATATTTATGGGGTGCAGTATAGTATTTCTTTTTTATTTATTTTATTTTTATTTCATGTGTATGAGTTTTTTGCATGCATGTGTGTAAGTGCATCCATGTGTGCCATCTCTGCAGAGACTAGAAGAGAGTATCAGATCCCCTGGAACTGGAGTTATGGACAGTTGTTAGCTGCCATGTGGGTGCTGGGAACCAAACCTGGGTCCTCTGCAAGAGCAGCCAGTGGTCTTAACTACTGTGTCATATCTCCAGCCCTTAATAAAGCATTTCAGTGTATGTAAACAATGAGTAATTAGAATTGTTAAAATATTTTTTAATGAAAATGAAGTTTGCCAATATTTTGCTCCAAATTCTAAAACTTAATTATTTGAGGTTTAATACATTTACATGGTCCAAATTACAAAAAGATCTAATGTAAAAACTCTTTCAAGCAAAGACCACCTCCCTGAGGAGTTGTCAGCATAAATCATTTCCGCAATCCTTGCCAAGACACATATCTCACTTGGGGACAAAGTCTATCTGTCTAACTTCTTGGGGAAGCATTAGCTCCCCAGCTTTTGTTAATGTTTGACGTTCAGTTCATGCAGTAAATTTTTCTGAGTCAGGTATTTCTCTCTATATATTTATATTTATGTACAATTCCTAGATCAAATGGCTAATTTGAGGATAACATAATGTACATTATTCATAACATGGCAGGGGGATTGTTTCTCAACAGAAAAGTCTAAGGCCAGGCTGGGAATCCATATTCCTTAGACACTGTAAAATCTCTTAATTTTCCATGACTGTTAACAACAGAGAAATGGTGACACTGCCCTTGTTTTAGTTATTTTCTTTCTTTCTTTCTTTCTTTCTTTCTTTCTTTCTTTCGATTGATTTATTTTTATTTTATGTGTATGAATGTTTTACCTGCATGCATGCATGTATGTGCACCCAGGCATGCAGTGCCTATGGAGACCGGAAGAAGGTGTAGGATCCCCTGGAACTGGAGTTACAGACAGCTGTTAACTACCTTGTGAGTGTTGGGAACCAAACTCAGGACCCCTGCAAGAGCATCCAGTGCTTTTAACCACTGAGCCATCTCTCTGGCTCCGATTTTCTTAAAAAAAAAAAAAAAGTGTGCTTTATTAGCAATAGTAAACCACAAAACTTAAATTCATAATTTAGGACTGAGGTATAGGTCAGTGGTAGAGACCTGCCTGGCATTCACAGGTCCTGGGTTTCATTCCTGACACCCACCAGCACCCCCACCCCCAAATCACAATTTATGGTTAATAACCAGATTTCTTCCAAAAGAAATTTAAGTTTCAACTATTGCTATTGTAAATGTAAATTCAGACTACAGTATATGTTTAAAAAAATAGTCATTTTGGATTCTTATTGAACCAGGTTTCATTACAGATCAAAGGTTCTGTAATGTCACAAAAGTTCTGATGCTTTCTTGAAACTATACTGTTCCTAAAAATTAAATAATCAGCTGGGCGTGGTAGTGCATGCCTATAGTCCCAGCACTTGGGAGGCAGAGGCAGGAGGACCTCTGTGAGTTCAAGGCCAGCCTGGTCTACATAGGAAGACCCTGCTTCAAAAAGACAAAAATAAATAAATAAATAAATAAATAAATAAATAAATAAATAAATAAAAATAATTGAGGGACTCTGTGATTAAGAACACTGGCAGCTCTGTAGTAGAAGACCCAGGCTTGGTTTCCAGGACTAACATGGTGATTAACAACCTTCCATAATTACAATTCCAGGGGATCCATTGCCATTTCCTGACCTCTGGAGGTATTGCACTCATGGGTGCATTTACATACACGCAGGCAAAACACTCATATACACAAAGGCTAAAATAAATAAATAAATAAACAATTAATTAAATAAATAATTGAGGCTGGGTGCAGTGGCATGCACCTGTAAGTTCAACTACTACTCAGAAGGCTGAGGTAAGAGGATGATGTGAAGTCCAGAGTTGGAGGGCAGGCTGGGCAAGAGCCTGTCTCAATGAATGAATGAATGAGTGAAAGGGCCTTGTACTATTATTTTCTTTTTTTTTGGATAGTAATAGGGATTGAGCTTTAGGCCTCATGCGTGTAAGGCAATTGCTGTACCACTGAGCTACAGCTGCAGCTTTGGACTTGTACTATGAAAGACCCTTTCTAGGGACTTCAATGTAAGACTGCTGCCTCTGTTAAAATGAATAATGTAGCCAGATGTGGTGGCCCATGCCTTTAATCCCAGCACTTAGGAAGCAGAGGCAGGTGGATCGCTGTGAGTCCAAGGCCAGTCTTGTCCACATAGTGAGTTCCAAGCTAGCTGGGGCTACAGGGAGACCCTGTCTCAAGAGGAATAAAAAAAAAAAAAAAAAAAAAAAAAAAAAAAAAGAATAATGTTTAGGGGATGGAGAGATGGCTCATTGGTTAAGAGCACTGACTGCTCTTGTAGAGGACCTTGGTTTAATTCCCAGCACACACATGGTGGCTAACAACCATCTGTAACTCCAGTTCCAGGGGGAATCAGATGCCCTCTTCTAACCTCCTCGGGTACTGTACAACATTGGTACACTTACATACATGCAAACAATATACTCATACACATAAAAAATTTTTAAAAGGAATAATGTTTAAATGGGAAAAACAACATCACTTTATATTTGAGTAAATTCAGTTACTGAGCAAAAGAAAAGGCAAGGCCTAGATTTAGGGACACATTCAGCCCCTCCAAAGATGACCTGCAGTGTTTTGGACACAGTTGTTTAGTGATTCAAGTAGTATCCTTATCCATATCATATTTCTAAAATTTTATTATTTCTTGCTTTATTGCCAAATATGATGGTGAATGCTTTAATTCCAGCACTTGGGAGGTAGAGGCAGGTGGACCTCTATGAGATCAAGGCTAGCCTGGTCTACATAGCAAGCTCCAGTCCAGCTCGGGCTACAGGCGGACCCTGTCCCAAAAAAACAAAAAAAAAAAACCAAGGACATGCTTTATGGCTCATAAAATGGCCTGTTTTGGCAAATGCTCCATACATAGTAGGAAAAAATATGTATTCTGTTGTTGGTGATTGCATATTCTATCAATCAGGTTAGTTTACTTGAAAAAATTGTCCTGACCTTCCCTACACATACTGGTTTTCTAGATAATTTTCCATCAAATATGCATAGAGGGGGTACTGAAATCTCTGACAATAATTTAGCACTTCCTCATGTGTTCTGAGTCTCTGTTATTTGATACTCTCAGGGTTTGCTATGGTCTGAATGCTCTTTCCATTCATATGTTGAATATCTAATACTCAGGGTGATAGTTATTTAGGAGGTTGCTGTTTTGGGAAGTAATTAAGTCATGAGAGTGAATGAACAGGTTTAAAAGGGACTCCTTTTGCCTATTTTTCAAGAAATATTTTATTATTTTTATTTTATGTGTATGCGTGTATTGTCTGCATGTAGGTAAGTGCACTTGTGTTGTGCAATGCCCGTGGAGGTCAGAAGAGGCTGGCAGACCCCTGGAACTGGAGTTACGGACAGTTGTTAGCTGCCATGTGGGTGCTAGGATTAGAACCTGGGTCTTCTGCAAGAACAATCAGTGTTCTTAACCACTAAGCCATCTCTTCAGCCCCTATTTTTTTTAAATTTTTTGTGTATGAGTGTATTTCCTGCATGTATGTGAGTGCATCTGTGTCCTGCAATGCCATGGAGGTCAGAAGAGGGCTTCAGATTTCCCTGGAACTGGGGTTAAGGACAGTTCGTAGCTGTCATGTGGGTGCTGGGAATCGAACCTGGGTCCTCTGCAAGAGCAGTCAGTGCTCTTAACCTCTGAGCCATCTCTCCAGTCCTTGCCCCCATTTTTCCTAATTTTTATTGACATACAATATTTATACCTATATCTGAGGTACAATGTGATATTCTGAATCATAAATGTCTTGGATAGTAATCAATTTAGGATAATTAGTGTATCTATCATGTAAAATTATCATTTCTTTATTGTGAATATATTCAAATTCCCCTCTTCTATTTTGAAATATATAATACATTTCAAAAATTATATTCACCTTTCTGTGCCATAGACCAACCAGAAGTTGTTCTTTTTTGAGACAGGGTCTCCCTGTAGCTCCAGCTGGCTTGGAACTTGCTATGTAGACCATGCTGGCCTTGAACTCACAGAAATCTGCCTTCCTCTGCCTCCTGAGTGCTGGGGTTAAAGGCATGTGTCATTAGGCCTAACCCTATTTTTTTTTTTCGCTTGTGTTTTTTGCTTGTTTGTTTTGCTTTTTTGAGATGGGATATCCCTGTAGCCCAGGCTGGCCTGGAACTCACAGAGATCTGTAACTTTTTGTTTTAAAATGACCCCATTTGTTGTTTCCTTCCTGCTCTTTTCAGCCTCTCCTTTGAATTGTTTCCTATGATTTAATTTCATTTTTTTGCTGTTGATAGTTGATATTAACTATCCTCTTGTTAAAACTTTTTATTGGTTCCTTTAGAATTTATGGTATATTGTACATTTTCCAAATGTTTACCTAAATTTTGTTATGTTTTCAGAAGTCTATGGTGAAATGAGAAAACCAGAGACAATAAAGAAAAATTTCCCATAAGTTAAAACCCTGGGTGTAGGATCCTTGACCTCTAATAGCTGCAAGTGTTACAGATCTCAAACCTTGGGTCTCAAAACCCTTAGCCCTTAAGGCCTAGGAGCCCTTCATCTGCTTTTGCCATCATCTGCTTTTCACAGCCCTCTGCTTTCCACAGCCTTTGTTATCTTCTTCTCCCCCTCCCCCTCCCCTTCCCCTCCCCCTCTCTTTTCTCATTCTTCTCTCTCTTCCTCTCCCTGACAGGGTCTCAGTAGTTCAGGCTGGCTTCAAACTTGCTATGTAGAGCTATATGACCTTGAACTTGTGATTCTCCTGCTTCTACCTCCTGAGTGCTGGGTTTACAAAATACACCACCATACCTGGCTTGTCCTCTTTCAATACAGGGTCTCTCTACCTTCCTCTTTCAATACAGGGTCTCACTCCGTAGCCCAGGCTAGCTTGAGCTCATTGTGTAGGCCTGGGTGGCCCTGAACACATTATGTAGCCCAGGGTGGCCTCTCATGGTATCCTCCTGCTTGGCCTCCCAGGTGCTGGGATTACAGGTTTGAGCACCACATCTGGCTAATTTCTGTCTGTTATTGGTATCTAGCCTAATTCCATTCTCTTTGGACAGCATGCTGATAGCTAAGCCCATATCTGACAAAAATCGCTCCCACATTTTTATGTGAATTTGATGAACACTTCTTGCCCTTTGTGATAACTAAAATTTTCTGATATGTAACAACCGGAATGACAGTGACAGTAAATAACACAGTAAACAATCAGTAGTAAATGTCAGGTAAACCCAGTCTGATTTATTTGCTTTTCGCAGGTGGTCTGACTGACGGCTTGGGTAATTTGAAGAACCTTGTGAAGCTTGTACTCGATAACATTAGGATGAATGAGGAAGATGCTAAAAAACTAGGTCAGATTTTTGTTTTGTTTCCTTTAATCTTTTTATTATAAGTATGACAATAAGAATGGTTATCTTAAGATTATTTGGCACTGACTGTGAAAGGCAAAACGTGTGTGTGTGTGTGTGTGTGTGTGTGTGTGTGTGTGTGTGTGTGTGTTATGTGTACGTGGGGGGTACTGCATGTGTGGAGGTCAGAAGACAATCATGGTGTCTTCCTCATTTTCCCCATTTGAGGCAAGGCCTATCTGTTTGCTGCTGTGCTGTGTACAGGTTCACTGGTCTCTGTGGATTCCTTTGTCTCTGCCTCCCATCTCACTGCAGGAATGCTGGGATTACTGCACCTGGCTTTACATGGATTCTGGGGGATCAAACTTAGGTTCTTATGCTTGTGCTATAGGAGTGTTTTAGCCATTGAGCCCTCTCCCCAGCCCCAACATCTATTTTTCTTTGTTGTTTTTGTTTTGTTTTGTTTTGAAAAAAAGTCTCACTATATAGCCCTGACTGGCTTGGAACACCCTATGTATACCAGACTGGCCTTAAACTCACAGATATCTATCTACTTGCCTCTACCTCCAATTATTGGAATTAAAGGCGTGTACCTTTAATTTACACCTGGCCTATTTTTTCTTTTTATATCATTTTTTATTTCCCTACTATTATTTCATGTGTATGAGTGTTTTGCCTACATGTGTGTAAATACATCTGTGTTGTACAATACCCACAGAGGCCAGAAGACAGTTGTTCACTGCCATGTGAGTGCTGGAAACTGAACCCAGACCCTTTGCAAGAGCAGCAGTGTTTTTAACTGCTGAGTCATCTCCCCAATCCCCTTCTTTTTCCTTTTTTAAAAAAATATTTTAATGACTGGGTAAAGTGGCACATACCTTTAACCCCAGCACTCAGGAAGGAGAGATAGGCAGATCTTGGAGAGACTGAGGATAGCCTGATTTAAGTAGGGAGTTCCAGGCCAGCTGGGGCTACCAGGAGACCCTGTCTCAAAAAAACAAAACAAAACAAAACAAAAAAAACCCCCACAAAACAAAACAAAAACTGAAAAATATTTTATTTATTTTTATTTTATGTGTACAAATGTTTTGCTTGCATGCATGTATACATGCCTGGTGCCTGTGGAGGCCCGAAGAGGGTGTCGGATCCCCTGGAACTGGAGTTATGGACCATATCACATACATTGTTTGCAATTTCCTCTAATCTCTGAAATATAGGTATTGAAAAAACCTTGGTTTGAGAGATGTAGCTCAGTGGTAGAGCATATATGAGGCCCTGGGTTCAATCCCCAGCACCAAAAAAAAAAAAAAAAAAGAAAAGAAAGAAAAGACTCCATACCTACTGTGTATTTGACACAAGGAAATGAAATAATTTGATGGTATAAACTATACTTAGTCAACCTAAACACATTAACTTTAGGGTAAGAATGAGGGATATTTTAGGATGCCTTCAATTGTA